TTGAAAAGTCTAACAATAATTGTCCTCTCCGATTAAAAAGAAACATATGAGAGTCAGCGTGGTGGAATCAGGCTCTCGTCAATTTTGGGGCATGTAGAATTATTGGTGTCATCTTAAAGCTTGTTCACTTGTCTTTATTTCAATGAAAAAAATATCCATTGATCTCGAATACAAGTCGATATATTTGCGAATGAAGGGGGTGGGGTCACTATTTTCAGAGGTAAAAATTAGTGAGAAAATGGCCACCAAAAATTAGTTATTTCCTTAGCTTAAGAGTCTGTGGTAACTAAAAATGTACATTTTTTGTGCCTTTAATCAACGTTTTCACGAAAAATCCACTCAGAAATGAGTTCTTTAATGGGCATGAAAGGTGTTGAGCCCCCCCCCCAAAAAAAAAAAAATTGATAAAAATAAACAAACCTGCAGAAAAATGCAAGTTTCCCCTTTTGGTTTTTTTTGGGGGGGGGCCGGGTTTCCCCCCCCCCCCTTTGCCTTTTTGGAAAAAAATTTCCCCCCCCCGGCAAAAAAAAACCGGTTTAAAAGGGTCCCCCTAGTTCGGGGTTTCCCCTTTTTTTTTTTTCAGGGAAGGCCCCCCCGAAAAACGGGGCAAACCCCCGCCATGGAAAACGTTTTTATTTTTTGCCCCCCCAAGCTGAGGGGGCCCCCCCCCCACCCCCCCCCCCCCCCCCCACACTCACACACACCCGTTAACATAACGAGAAAAGAGGAATTGAGAATACGTTCGAAAAAAAACAACAAATTAATATAACAGCAGCATAATTAGGATAGAACTTTTTATTTTCGTAAACAATTCAAGGGGTAAATTCCAATAGAAGAAGAAGAAGAAGAAGAAGAAGAAGAAGAAGAAGAAGAAGAAGAAGAAGAAGAAGAAGAAGAAGAAGAAGAAGAAGAAGAAGAAGAAGAAGAAGAAGAAGAAGAAGGAGCTTTCGTTCTCTTTCAAATCCCCCTTCTCCCCCCCCCCCCTCTCTCTCTCTCTCTCTCTCACGCACACGCACACACACACACACACACACACACACACAGACACACAGACACACACGCACACACACACACACACACTCTCTCTCTCTCTCTCTCTCTCTCTCTCTCTCTCTCTCTTTCTCCCCTCTGTTCACATAATATGCCACCGACCGCATTCTACGATCCTTGCCAGCATCGCCCCTAATTGAATTTAAACAGCTAAAACAGTCCGGTCAAAAATACCTCACGGCACAGACTAGGGAAAAAAAAAGTAACGAAAAAAAACCCTAAAAAAGAAAAGTAAACTCCCGCGCTGGTCAGATTATGATCTTAAGGTAGGATGACGTCACACAGAAACCGTCCAATGGGGCAGCAGCCAGGCCTGCATAAAGCTGTCGGGCCGGGCAGTTATAAGTGTCACGGGGCTGTCTTAACTGTCACTCGGACAAAATGATGTCGTAGGACGCAGGATCCTAGGAGTAGGCGCTGGCGTAGCCCCCTCAAGTTTTGGATACCCATCACTCGCCTCAGAGGTCGTTCGTTCTTCTGTCGTAGGCTCGCTAGCTAGCGGGTCTAGTTTACTCGAATCTGTTTTGACGACCGACACCGCGTGTGTGTGTGCGTGTGTGTGTCCGGGTTGGTTTCAGGTATAATAGGAGAGAGCAGTGGAGGTAAGAACGAGTTGGGAGCGTCACACGCAGCAGCAGCGGTGGTGGTGGAGGGACCAGGGACAGGCTGACAGACTGACTCTTCCCTCAGACGTTTTCGTGTGTGTGTATGTATGTGTGTGCGTCGGTGACGTACGTTCTCTGCGGGGAGGCGTCGTTTACTGGCGTTCCATAACTTCACCTTTCTTCCCTCGGAGTAACGTGTTCAAACTATTCCATAAGTCGTGATCAGCGGCAGATATAATAATAGCAGTCAGATAACAAACATGCCCACAGGCTTTATTCACATTTAAGTCCAATTTTTACATCTTATATTTTTATCTAATATTAGCAGATCAACTTGAAAAGTCTAACAATAATTGTCCTCTCCGATTAAAAAGAAACATATGAGAGTCAGCGTGGTGGAATCAGGCTCTCGTCAATTTTGGGGCATGTAGAATTATTGGTGTCATCTTAAAGCTTGTTCACTTGTCTTTATTTCAATGAAAAAAATATCCATTGATCTCGAATACAAGTCGATATATTTGCGAATGAAGGGGGTGGGGTCACTATTTTCAGAGGTAAAAATTAGTGAGAAAATGGCCACCAAAAATTAGTTATTTCCTTAGCTTAAGAGTCTGTGGTAACTAAAAATGTACATTTTTTGTGCCTTTAATCAACGTTTTCACGAAAAATCCACTCAGAAATGAGTTCTTTAATGGGCATGAAAGGTGTTGAGCCCCCCCCCCAAAAAAAAAAAAATTGATAAAAATAAACAAACCTGCAGAAAAATGCAAGTTTCTTCAGTTTGATTATTTTGACGAGAGCCTGATTCCACCACGCTGCTTCGCATATTTGAAACTAATTTACACACACTGGCATAAAATAAACTGATTAAAAGAGTACCACTAGATCGACGATTACCCTGTTTTGTTTTTCATGGAATGACCCCTCGAATAACAGGGACAAACACTGACATTGAAAACGTTTGATATTTATGTCCACGCAAGCTTGAGAGCCCCCCCCA